AAAACCAGAAGTAGTGCTGTGGCGCTGTGGTTCAAGTGATAGAGCATTTGCCTTGAGCTGAAAAGCCGAGGGACAGCGCCCAGGCCCAGTTCAAGCCCCACGACCGACAAAAATAAATTGTATTTATTTATTTTTTGGGTCCAGTTGTGGGGCCTGAACTCTGGGCCTGGGCGCTGTCCCTCAACTCTTCAGCTCAAGGCTAGCGGACTACCACTTGAGCCACAGCGCCACTTCCGGCTTTTTTCTTTTTGCTTATGTGGTGCTGAGGAATCGAACCCAGGGCCTCAGGCATGCAAGGCAAGCGCTCTACCACTGAGCCACCTTCCCAGCCCCACAAAAATAAATTTAAAAAATACAGATTTCCACCTCTGCTCCCTGGATGCCGTCCAGCGGGAGCCCAGCAATGTGTTCTGAATGGCAGCCCCTTGAACTCCATTTGGGGGCTGCCAGGAAGAGTGGGAACAGCCACATAGGTAGAGAACATGAACTACACTTGGGATTGTTAAGCAAAAAATGGAATAGAAGAAAAAAACATTTAGAAAGTATGGAAAGACCTGTTGCTCACATGTGAGGCTGTTGAGTTCGAGTCTCAGTATCACCCGCTTGTGGGCATATTGTTCAGTGTGTGGTGAGAAAGGACTAAGCAATTTCTAAGGTTTCTAAGCTTTGAGACCCAATGAAGTAATGTCCCAGTTACAATATTCCAGGTTCCAGGCTCACATTGAGGAGCTGGCTTAAGCAATGAAGAAGCACTGTTTAAATCTTGGTATGCGGAAAGATCAAAAGAAACGTTTTCTTCCTTCCTTGGAATCATAAAGAATTTGAAGCATTTATGGTTCTCACTAGATAACAGAAAGAGGGAGCTAGGTATGTATTTAAGAAGGTATCCTCTAAGGAAAAATGCTTATCGAAGCCAAGAGCACAGATAGGTTGTGGAGAAGCATGTGGGAGGCTGCCGTGGGAGACGCCTGGATGCCTGTAGGCTCTGGCCTTAGAGCTTGTGCAGGACAGGATTTGGGCGAGGTGGCCCAATGCAGGGAATCTTAAAGGATGAACTCAGGGCCTGGACGCTGTCCCTGAGCTTTTTGCTCAAGGCTAGCACTCTACCACTTGGGCTACTAGCTCTGCTGGCTTTTTGATGGTTCATTGGAGATAAGAGTCTACCAGACTTTTCCCTGGGCTGACTTCAAACTAGACTCTTGAGATTTCAAATCTCCTCAGTAGCTAGGATTGCAGGGTGAGCCACTGGTACGGGCAGTGGCTTGGTCTTGACTGCTGTACAGACGGCACACCTGCGCTGTTTGGTGGTGTGAGCTGCCCTTGTGTACTTCTAAACTGCCCAGAAACTCAGTGTTTGACCCAACTCATTCTTCAGACATTTATCAAAACATTTTTTTAACACATTATTCAGAACTGGGAAGGTGGCTCAGTGGTAGAGCGCTTGCCTTGCATGCCTGAGGCCCAGGGTTCGATTCCTCAGCACCATATAAGCAGAAAAAGCTGGAAGTTGTGCTGTGGCTCAAGTGATACAAGCGTCAGCCTTGAGCTGAAGAGCTGAGGGACAGCGCCAAGCCCAGAGTTCAGGTTCCACGACTGACAAAAAAATAAATACAAATAAGACATTCAGCATGAAATGAATATAAATATTATGGCATTTACTGTAGTAAATGCTATGCTGTTACTGACGTTCATGTTTATTATACTCTTCAGTTGCAGTCTTATGTATTAAGTTTACAACATTTTATGTGAAAGAGTAATCCCCATGTAGCGGGGAAAACTTGGCAACAGTAAAGTGAGAGGAACCAACACAGCCGCAGAATGCCGAGTGGGGACCACTTTCTATTGTTTTTGTTTTCTTGGCTGTATTGGACTTTAGACTCCAGGGGCCTCTCGTTTGAGAGACAGGCCCTCTACTGCTTGAGCCATGCCCCCAACTCTAGTTTTAAACGTCATTACAATGTGAAGGTAACTGCCAAGTAGCCACTTGGAGCGGGTGTGTTGGCCCGTGGTACCGCCTGCTCGGGAGGTAGAGAAAGGAGGATGGAGTTCCCCAAGGCCAGCCAGGCAGCTAACCCGAAACCCTGTCTGAAAAATAAGACGCCAGAGTGCATGGGACATGGCCCGAGCCACAGTGAGTGCTTGAGGCTTTCAGTTCATTTCCCCGTTGGCATAAAAATAAAAATAGCCACTTGTTACCATGGGAATGGTGGTGGGTGGGTGTGCAGGGCCCGCAGGATGACCTGGACCCGAGGTCAGCCGTGGAAGGTGCCAGAAGTTGTTATGGTAAAGATAGATGTAGGATATGGAAGCCCGCCTAGCTAGCTTCAGGCCGTGCGCTCAAACCCAGCACAGCTGAAATACAAAATTAAGTGCCAGTCGACTGTCTAAGAAGCAGAGCCTTGCCACCCTCTACAGCCATCTCCTGGCCATCCTGATCTATACCAGCCACCTAGGAAAGTCCATATACAAAGTCTCCAGGAGGCCTGCAGGTCTGTAATTAGCATCTTGCTAATCAGTAAGAACCTCCCATCATGGTTGTATTAAGATACAGTTTCCATGCAGTGTTTTGGGGGTCTCACAGGCATGCCACGCAGCAGCGTGGGTCATTGTAAACTCTGAGTGGGGACTCGAGGGTGGCTGGCATTGTGAGTTGGAGGCCGCCCCAGGGCCTCTGCCCTACTTGGAATGGAGCAGCCGATAACCCAGCAGGAAGGGACGCCCCCCCTCCCAGCACACCGCTGATCCCTTCTTCCAGGAAAAGCTTCAGCTCCACCAAATCTCTATCTGAAAGTGCTATGAAAAAATTATACTGCTCTCAGGTAGCTAAATCACAGTTCACTGTGGAGTTTTCCTCGCAACTGGACACGTGAAAGGCAGGGAGCAGAAGCCTTCGAGCACACGGGGATCACGGGCTAGCTCCGCTCCTGTATAGAGACGCACGCCGTGCTCCCGGCCAGGCCAGCCTGAGCTACACAGCCAGGCCCTGCGTCAGAAAACAAGGGATCAACGGATTGTGTGCTGATGCCAAGGTTTGGTGCGTCTCCATTTCTTCCTCTATTTCTTCAGTCCTATGTCTCAGCCACTAGCCGTGCGCCCCTGCCTCCCCCCTCTACCCCCCCCAAGCTTGATCTCATTTAGTCAACGGCAAATTGTTTGAAGCAAAGTCCAGGCAACTCTGAAGTTTTGGTTTTGCCAAATATACCAAGTGCCAGAAGCGACCTTCTGGCTAGCATCGGGCTCCTGGTGCTAAGGAGCTGACAAGGGCCCAAGGACTGAAGTATACACAGGCAGCTCTGGTTTGCTCTGCTGCTGACCAGGTTGAAACTTCTGGTGCTGGCGTGTTGGTCAGGTTGCAGCCTGTGCTTTTGTCTTTTCCTGTGATCTCTGGTACTAAACAATTCTTCATGGATAGGTAAATACTGTAGATTTATTTTCTTTTTGGTACATGCACTGAGGCTTGAACTCAGAGCCTAGAGCTCTCCCTTAGCTTTTTCACTCAAGGCTGGCACTCTGCCAGTTGGGCCACAGCCCCATTTTCTTTTGCTTGTTTTTCTGAGATACATCACTGCCTCGGCCCCCTGAGTGCTGGGATTACAAGTGTGTACCACCATCCCTGACTAGACTGGGTTTAAATGCTGGTTTTCTACAGGGTTGCAATTTTGGCCTTTTTGCCTCCTTCCCAGGTGATCTCCTTTATTTTGGCGATCCTAACATCCTAGAGGCTCTGAGAAACAGGGGCTTCCCCTGGGGAGTTCAGTATTTGATATTTGTAATTTAGAAAATTGCTGACTTGGGCTGGGAAGGTGACTCAGTGGTAGAGCGCTTGCCTTGCATGCCTGAGGCCCTGGGTTCGATTCCTCAGCACCACATAAGCAAAAAAGAAAAAAGCCGGAAGTGGCTCAAGTGGTAGAGCGCTAGCCTTGAGCTGAAGAGCTGAGGGACAGTGCCCAGGCCCAGAGTTCAGACCCACAACCGGACCAAAACAAAAAAAACAAAAAAAGAAAAAAGAAAATTGCTGACTTAGCTGCATGCTGGTGGCTCACGCCTGTCCTAGCTACTCAGTAGACTAAGATCTGAGGATTGCGGTTCAAAGCCAGCCCAGATAGGAAAGTAGGAGATTTTTATCTCCAATTAGCCGTGAGTCAAGTAGTAGAATATCAGCCTTAAAAAGAAACGCTTTTGATTTGTTATTTGCGTTGGGGGAGGGAGGGGTTCTTTGGGTACCATTTTGCTGTGCTAAAAGTGTTGACATTACTTAAACGGCTTCTAGGTGACTTTCTACATCAAGTAGCTAACGCATCAGGCCTGGGAGCAGAGGCCGTAGCTGCCTGCTCACCTGCCTACCCGCCATGATCCGTAGCAAACACAGTTCAAACAAAACAGGGTAGGTTTTTCCCTTTAACATTACAAAAGGACAAAAACCTACCAATTATTTGATACTTGGAAAATATGAGTTTTTAGTTTAGTTTAGCTTTTAATTTATTTAGAATATTTAGTTTGTTTTTGCTCTGATCTTTTTCTCAAGCTGAATATTGATGGCTCACACCTGTAATCCTTACTACTCAGGATGCTGAGCCCCTGAAGAGTGTGGTCCACAACCAGCCAGAACAGAAAAGTCTGCAACGCTCTGTCTCCAGTTAACCAGCAAAAAGCTGGACTGGAGGCATGGCTCAAGTTTTAGAGCTCTTGCTGAGTAACCACGAGACCCTAAGTTCAAATCCCTACTGTAAAAAAAAAAAAAATCCTGCTAGATTTGTGTTGTCGAAATATTTTTCCTGTGAAAGTCTAATTACTGTCAAACTGGAGTTATTTTATAGGTTTCCCATAAAAATGTAAGTAAAATTAAACTAATTACGACAAGGCAATTAATGTGGTTTGCAGTAACGCTTCTTGTTTGTAAGTACCCGTTTTGGGGTGATTATAAATTCTGTTGGAGTGGGTTAGGCTGGCTGCCTGAGGGCTGGGTGGAGCGCTCACTCTGTATTTTGATGTCATTTCAGGTAACATCCTTGTTACATTTCCAGTTTCCAACAGCAACTCTCCAACGAAGATTCTGCCAAAAACCTTAGGACCAATAAATGTGAATGTTGGACCCCAAATGGTAAGAAAACCATCTAGTCTTAGAATTAAATTTTACCTATGCCACACGAATTACAAAGACAGTTAGACTGGAACTGTTTAACCATGTAATCTACTTAATTTCAGGTATCTTAGTCATTTAATTTTTACATGTGCCGTCCCGGAGCTTTAAACAAAATTTTTGTGTGCATGTTTTTTTTTTCTTTGGATCCGGTCGTGGGGCCTGAACTCTGGGCCTGGGCGCTATCCCTCAGCTCTTCAGCTCAAGGCTAGTGCTCTACCACTTGAGCCACAGCGCCACTTCCGGCTTTTTTCTTTTTGCTTATGTGGTGCTGAGGAATCGAACCCAGGGTCTCAGGCATGCAAGGCAAGTACTCTACCACTGAGCCACCTTCCCAGCCCTGTGTGCATGTTTTCATGGATGTTTATAATTTAGGTTTAACTTCCACATATGAGAGAAGACATGTGCCCTTCGTCTCTGAGCCTGACTTCAGTTTTGTCTACAGCAGTTGAAATAATGCATGAGGGCTGGGAAGGTGGCTCAGTGGTAGAGTGCTTGCCTTGTATGCATGAGTCCCTGGGTTCAATTCCTTAGCACCACAGAAGCAGAAAAAACCGGAAGTGGTGCTGAGGCTCAAGTGGTAGAGCACTCGCCTTGAGCTGAAGAGCTGAGGGACAGTGCCCAGGCCCAGAGTTCAGGCCCCACAACCAAAAAAAAAAAAAAAAAAGAATGATTGAATGCATGAAAAATAGACCATGCCAAGTTCTTCCATAGACATTCATTTATTCTTCAGAGTGTAGCTGTGGCTGACTGTGTAGGCTTTGGGAGAGACAAAGTTGCATCACCTCTAGCAGATGCCTGAGGTAATGGCGGCCCCAGCGCCAGCAAAAGAAAAGTCCTTCAGCTCCTGGACTCACTTTTTTGTGTTGGTCGTGGGGACTTAACTCTGGGCCTGGGCGCTGCCCCTCAGCTCTTCAGCTCAAGGTGAGCACGCTACCACTTGAGCCACAGCACCACTTCTGGCTTTTTCTGCTTACGTGGTGCTGAGGAATCGAACCCAGGGCCTCATGCATGCAAGGCAAGTTCTGTACCCCTGAGCCACATTCCCAGCCCTGGAATCACTTTTCACTGGTGCATTTTGTCTGTAATACAAGCGGAGTATGTAGACTGTGTTAAATACAAAGCTGTTAGACCAATTGTACTGATTTCAGAGAGCCTTGAAGACAGTGTAGAATGACATTTTTTCTTTGATCAGTTGGGAACTGTTCAATCATCTGCCAATTTCAAGCTTAAGATAAAGCACAGTTAGGAGCCAGGTACCGGTGGTTCATGCCTGTCATCCTAGCTACTCAGGAGGCTGAGATCTGAGGATTATAGTTCAAAGCCAGTCCGGGCAGGACAGTCTGAGAGACTCTTATCTCCAATAAACCACTAGAAAACTAGAAGTGGCTCTGTGGCTCAAGTGGTAGAGCGCCAGCCTTGAGCTGAAGAGCTGAGGGACAGCGCCCAGGCCCAGAGTTCAAGCCCCACAACAGACCCTCCCCCCCCAAAAAAAAAGATAAAGCACAATTAATTCTAAGTATGTAAAGAATGTGCTCTAGCTCAAAACCTCAGAGAGAGTTCAAGTAAATGTCCCTGTTTAAGGTGATTCAGAGACTCTCTTCAAACAGTTGCTAAGCATTCTCCTGCACAGCCTGGTAGGTACACATGAGCAGGACCCTGGCTAATGTCCATGAAATGTGATTTTGCAAGTACCAAAGTGGAACTTAGATTTTTATGAATCTTCTCTTTGAAACTTCTTTTTTTGGGGGGTGACTACTGTCCCTCAGCTTTTTTGCTCAAGGCAAGTGCTTTTCCACTTGAGCTGCTACTCCCATTTGTGGCTTTTTGGTGGTTAAATAGTGACTTTCCTGTCCCCACTGGCTTTGAACCACAGCCTCAGATCTCAGCCTCCTGAGAAGCTATGTTTAGAGGTGTGAGCCACTTGGTGCTCGGCTCCTGTATACATCTCCAACGAACTCAGTAATCCTCGGGATTGGCCATATAAAGGGGCAGGCACAGGGGAAGTTTGGTGTCCCCCTTGAATCTGGTCAGCCCAACACCTTAATTTGGCTTTTTTGCAGTTCCTGGGCAGTACCCAGACTCATGTTGGTTTTTCATTTGTGGGTGGAATCCCACTTATCTGGTCAGGCTGTGTCCCTCCCAAATTCCAGTTGAGTGTTGAGTCTTTGTTGTGGTAGCGGAAGTGGGACTTTCAGCGTCCCTGAGTCACAGATGTGCAGGCAGGATTCTGCTGTGGGTGCAGGAAGGCATCCTCTGAGCGCAGGAGCCTTCCCTAGACATTGAATATGCTGGCGTCTTGTCTTCACAGTGTCCAGAATTGACACCACACATTTCTATGGTTTATGAATTACCCCTAAGGTCTTTTTTGTGGGTGGGTGGGGGAGGTCATGGGGCTTGAACTCAGGGCCTGTGTGCTGTCCCTGAGCTCCAGGCTAGTCTCCAGCACCACCTCCACTATTCTGCTTGCTAATTGGAGGTCAGAGTCTCACTGGCTTTCCTGCCTGGGCTGGCTTTGAACCGAGATCCTCAGATCTCAGCCTCCTGAGTAGCTAGGGTGACAGGTGTGAGCCACCAGTGCCCAGCTGGCCTTGAACTTTTAATCCTCCTTTCTCAGCCTCCTGAGTGTCAGGATTACAGCTCTGTACCACCAAGCCACGCGCTCTGCTCCTCTCCTGACCGTTCTTACCACTCTTCACCCTTGTTTGGGCTGGGCTTGTGAACTCAGGTGCAGCGCCTGCCTAAGTGCACACGCCTGTACTATCTGGTTCCACTCCCGCCACTGCAAGTGAGGAAACATGCCTCCTCACCAGCACTTCTCCCATGGCTGTTAAAAGACGGCGTTTAGTTGGGGAATTCTTAAAGCATAGACTTCTTCTGGGCTTCCTTCTCTGAGCCCTTTGACCTTCACATCTCCCTGGGTGGCACTGGGTGGTAGAAAGCTCAAAAAGCTCCAGGAAAAGCTTTTTCTATTGGTTGTAAATTCATTCAGCAGTGACTGTTGGAAGTTTAAAATATTGGCCCTTTTCTTGTATATCAGATAGATAAATATCTTAAGGTCATATCTTACGGCTATCTTGTTTCAGAAGATTTAAAGTGTGTGTGTGTGTGTGTGTGTTTTGTGGTGAAAGCCAACACTTTGTCTTAGTGAAATCCTTTGAAGGTTTCTTCTCCCCCCCCCCAGTGCGTGCACTCTGCTTTTCCAGCTGTAGGTGGCAGCAGCGTGCAGCCCATGCTGTGCGGGGCAGCAGCCTTCAGACACCCTTCAGGGTGGACCGCAGCCACCACGTTTTACAGCCCAACTAATCGAGCCTCCGAGAAACCCTTTGATGACATCTCAATTACCAGTGTCTGGAGAGATCTCTGAACTCTAAAACCTCATTTTCATTAGATCAATTAAATGTTAGAAGTATGTTTTACCTCCAGTTTTTTTTTTTTTGGTCGGTCGTGGGGCTTGAACTCTGGGCCTGGGCGCTGTCCCTCAGCTCTTCAGCTCAAGGC